TTTACACACCCACCCATCCATTAATGCTATTACCCATAGTACCTATACCTGAATATATCTATAAATTGTTATAAATACTAATACTAATAGGTACTTAGTTATGGTTATTCACTTTCATATTTTCACCCACRGCACCCACCCAGCCACAAACCTTAAAAAAAATCGAGAAGCATTCGCTTCTCAAAGAACCCAGTCGTTTCGTCACTGTCCATTATCATATGAATAAATACAGATGTAAAATGTTTAGAATTTTTTATATGTAACACTGTTGATATATGTATATATATTTTTTTTTTTACTTTTGTCAGTATTATTACTTGAGTAAATTAAAGTAAATTATCAAGAATTCAAATTTGTATAAATATTTTTTAAGTTATGCACCACTTAAAGTAAAAAATAAAATAGTAAAAATATTGTTAAATTTATATCATCAATTAATTTAATATCTGCAGCTTTCATGCAGTTTAAATTTCATCAAAGAAAAATATATACCAAATATTTGATTTCTCTTTTGAGATCACTAATTCACAAAAACAAAAAATCTTTTAACACAAAAAATGCAAATTGTTAAAATATGAGTTATATCTTCTATCCATAACTTATTAGTTATTTATACAATCTATATAATAAATAATCATTAAATAAACTCACATCAAAGTTTTTTTGCCATTCTTTTGACATAGTTGCTTTTTGCTCTTCATCTATTTCTTGTTCCCGTTTCCGTTTTCTTTCTTGTAATTCTCTCGCTTCGTGATCTTTCCTTTTGCGTTCTAGATCAGCAAACAATTTACATGTTTGAACATAAATACTACGTTTCATAACAGCTGGGTCGTCTTCTTCAACTTTAGTATCTTTGCCTTCTTTTTTCAATTTTTTACGTTTCTCTACAACCATGAATTCAGTCATGTCCTTGGCTTCCTGTATGATCTCTAGACATTTTTTTCGTGATTCATCATTATCGATTGTCCGCCATGCACGGTTAACAGTCTCAAAAGCATTGTTTGCTCTTTCTAGATCATCTTGGTTTTTGTCTGGATGCACCAAAATAGACAACTAAAATAATTGTTGGTAATCAAATTTTTGCAATAAAACAAAAATTATTTATTAAAAAGTAAATAAAACTTGCTCTTTTATATTTTCTTTTTGCCTCGTCCAAAGGTGTGTCATGGTCTAGCTGGAGTACTTCATAAGGATTAAGATTGAAATATGAGGCTCCGGGGCGCAGGAGCCTATCAATCTGTTGTTTAGACGTCAACACAGAGTCACGTTTTTCTATTTCTTTTACCTGTTAATGAAACGGTGAAAAAAATATATATTTAAACAAGCCATGTATAAAAACTCACTTCTGTATAAAATTTATCGAAATTTTCGTTTTTCTTTGGCGATTCAGGTTCCGTCGACTTGCCAGCCATACCTATTACTGACGGRCCGTTAACAGTCTAAGATCTACAAAATGGAATGCCACAAATGCATAAGCTAATTTGATTTGAAAAGTAAAATTACAGATAGTACTTGAACTGTTGAACGATTGATATCTAAAAACTTTCTTCGGAGAAACACTTCCACCAGACTATTAAAAACATAATATTCTTGCAATACTTAAAATCGAGTGATCACTTACATTTAAATAACCTCTAGTTATAATAGTACCTACTATAACTAGTACAACTTTAAAGTTTGTACTTTTGTAGGCACTTGCAGGTAGTCACTACTCACTAGTCATTAATTCATTATAAAAAAAATAATAACAAATAACAATAATAAGAATTCTGAATTGTATCAATATGATTATTATTATCGTTATCAATTTATCATGATTTCAGATCCAAGAATTCAACACATCATATTTAGGTAAACGGACGCCTAGATCCACTGCACTGTAGATCCTCTGTCGTCCATTAGATCCCCAAAGTCTATTGGATCCCCGTGCCAAATAGATCACATGTCATTTAGA